GCAGCCGTGCCTCGGGCAGGCTGAAGAGCGGCGGCGACATCACCCCTTCCCAAGCCGCCGCGCAGCAGCGCTCTGCCGCGCGCCCTGATGGCGTTATCACCCCGCGCGGCCGGGGGGGGGGCACGCAAACCACAGAGAGGCGGTGCCAGGGGGGAGTGGCGCCTCTGAGGGCCTGCGGCCTTACTCTGCTCAAGGTTTGGATTTGAAGGCCTAAGCTCAAGTATTCCGCCCAATTCTGGCCCTGCACTTTAAGAAAGATGTAAACAAGCTCGAATGAGTCTAAAGTAGAGCAATGTTAAGAGGTGTAGAAACCCCAAACTATGAGAAAAGGCTGAAAGAATTAGGTTTTAGTTTAGAAAAGAGAAGACAAAGGCAGGGAGAGAGATGCTTACAGGTTTCCAAGCTGGGTTCTAGTCTTTGTTTCTGCCCCCAGTGGACAGAAGCTGTTCCTCTGCAGGCTTTACATTGTGCCCAAAGAATATTAAATGCACGCTGTAGAAAAACCATAGGGGCCAGAACTAAAATGTGTGGCCCCACCCTTCCAGGCAATGTCCACTCCAGTCAGTCACGTTGTTCGTTGTGGCAGCTTCAAGAGGAGGACTGGAGGGTATTTTGGGTAATACCTATCCTTGGCCTAGGAGCTGACCTACTTTGTTGTGAAGTGGGAGATGAAGCTTCAAACCCCTTTCTGGGGGTTGGGGTGGAAGGCTGTAGAAGTGCTTTAACTACTAGGTTATTTGGCTAAAAGTGGGAGAGCCACCTTCCACGTTTTCCTCCTCCAAACACTTTCTAGTCCTGTTTTTTCTCCAACTACACTCTTTTGGGGCTTACACACAATTAAGCATCTACTTCTGTCCTACTCCATGGCAGAGCACGTGACATGGAAGAGATTTCTGAGCATGCTCAGAAGGGCAAGCATAGTTATACAGGTGGGTAAAGGTTCTAAAATCCGCTTACGTGCCAAAAATGGCACGTGCATGGCTGCATTTGGGCACATAAGGTAAAATAGGATTTGGTCTAAAGTGCCCATTAATGTAGCCAACAGTAGCTTCTAAATCACATCGCATAAACTTCTTGTTTTTCCCGGCTCTCTTAATCAATCTCAAATACTTTACCATTCATTTGGGGGAGTGTGTACCAGCCTGTGGAGCTCTGATTTGACCCATAAGTAGGTCATCTTAACAAAGAGCCCCTGTTTCTTTCCTCTACTTCTGATACTATGCCTATAAACTACAGCCTGGACTATGGCCAGTGATACAGCCTGCTCCATGTATCATCTGAGTCAATGGTGCCCAATTTCTAGCCTGCAAATCAAATATGGCACATGGGACCTTGTCATCTGGCCTGTGGGACTCCCCACAGGTCCAGAAATTTGGTGGGAGAGCAATATCAGCATTCATTGCTATGGCTCTAGAAGCAACTCTGGAAGCTGTGGCAATTAATCCTGTCACTGCTCCCCTGCCACCAAATTTCTGGACATATGGGGAGCCCTGCAGGTTGGATGATATAACCTTCACACCAGATCACACTGGCAGGCAGGGGTCACTCCAGCATGCAGGGCTGGGGCTGCTCCAAATCGGCCACATGGGGCCAGGCCACACTGCATCATACCTGTGGACCAACCTTGCGTGTTGCCCACTATGCTGGGCCTGGCCCGCAGACTGGCCCCATGCTACTCATTTGGCTTTGGAGCAGGAAGGGTGGGCAGCACTGATCTAAGTAGCATGCAACCAGCTGTAAACCAGGCTCCCAGCCCATTGTCCATTCCAGAATAAGCTGAACTTTTCAAAAGCTGAGCATGAGGCAGGTCCCACTGGTCAGGTCTTGTCAAAATGAAAATAACCTTCAAAATAGAGACCAAAAAGGTTAAAAGCTGATGGATGTATAGTGCAGCTGAAAAGGTAACAGTGCCCCTGGGTCATAAGTCCTCACTACATTGACAGGACTATCAAAGAAAGAATAATGTACCAGACAATTCAGAATTGGCTGCATCATTCACAAAACTATCCTGTGCATATGACGCAGGATGAATAAAATCATAACCCTCAGGTGCCTTTTTGACAATCAGCCTCAAATAGAGATTCTACGTCTTTCATAGGTAAGTGCCTGAGTAGCCTTGCAATGCTATTTCTTTCAAGATTCATAGACGCATAAATGTTAAGATCTGGAAGGGACCTTACAAGATCATTGGGTCCAGCCCCCCTGCACTTGGGCATCTCGCTCTTTGGTATGAGAGTTTGACTTTTTTTTAGAGTTCAGATGATTTCTAAGTCTATATAGTACCTTACCATAAGCCCCTCTCATAAACACACCCTACATATCCTGTAGTCTCTAAAGAATACCCTAAGCCTGTCAAGCCTAACTGGATAGAGAGCTTATTCCTGTGCCTCTTTCCCCACCTACCTCTTGGTTTTACAACTCCTACTGCCAGCACTGTACCTAGACTCCTGATGGCCCTGGGTGAACTTTTAGTATCAGGCCCCGCTTCACCAGAGATAATGATAATAATAATTGGATAATGAAAAAAAAACAAAACATTTTTGGGCTTCCTTTCTGTCCAGGCCACAGGCAGCCACCCAGTTCACCTATGCCTGTGACCAGCCCTGCCTACCGCTGATGAGGGAGTAACTATAGTTCCAGCATCTCCTTCCCATTTTCAGGGTTGGGGGAAGGTTTCCTTGTCTGTACATGGTAACTAACACAGACTCAAATGCAAATGTTAGTTCCTAAATGTAGATGCATCCTATGGTCACCAGAAATTGGTCCTAAATATTTTTATTGTGGCAGTGCCCATAAGTATAATTAGCCATATTGAATCAGATGCTGTACAAGCACAAAAAGATTTGGCCCCATATGAGGATTTTTCAATAAAACTGGCCAAAAATTGGTATTTCCTTAAAAAAAAAAATCCAATTTTGTTCATTTAGTTTGAGCTAGTTAATTTTTTTTCAAACAAAATAAAACTAAATGAAATTTAGTTTGGTTCAGGTTTTGATTTCTATTGTTTATTCCCCCCTTTTTTGTTTTCACACAAAATTAATTAAATGTTAATATATAAAATGAAAGGACATTTTTTATTTTGTTACTTGAAAAACCAGGAAGTGGATAATGAGATGTTTCACTGAAGAATCCACTGTCAAAAACTGTATTTGTTAAAGGAACTGATCAGGTCTAGTTTACAGTCAGAAAGACAAGAACAGGATCAAACATTCTTCCTTTTCTACATTGCCACAGGGTGCCCAGAGCAAATTGTTTTCTTGCAGGGATCGCTGAGTATCACTGGGCATGTCTACACATTCATTAATGCGCTTTAGGTAATGCACATTAAATCTAGTACTTCCATTGTGACCAAAGGTTTTTTGTGATGCTTTTATGTTCATTAAAATAGATTACCACGCATTAAAATGTAGGTGCTTACTGTAGATGTTTTCATTTCCCAAGCTTCCTCCTGCACTCAGGCTGCCAAATGTGCTTGGGAAAATCTTAATTTAGCTACACATCAGTGCACCCCACCTGGATCTGCCTCTGCCCAGGCCTAGTAACTCCGT